GATGAACCCACAATCAACAGTGATAATGATAGAACAGCAGAAAATGAAGCAAGGTCAGAGGTCACAGCATGGAGGATCCAGAATTTTCTTTTCCTTTTTGGCAAACCCACGACAGAACAAGGAAAGAGAGGAGAAAATAAAATATGATGAAAGGGGGGTATTTTGGTAATTTTTGAAGGCTGAAAAGGGAGCATTCAAAAATAAAAACTTAGGACCTTGTTGATTAGATGAGAGTTTACTTTCCACTAGACTGGCTTTTCTTCATGCTGAATTTCTTCCAAAATTAATAAAAGTACAAGTAAAAGAATTTATTAAATAATTTAATTTTACTTGAAATTTTTGGGTTATTACATCTTTATCCATCTTTTTCGCATTCACCAGCTCTCTCTGCTCTTTCTTGGTTCGTGCACCTGACACCCTTCTTCTACTTCTTTGTTTGATGTTTTCCCATGTTGTTGTGATCAAGGGAGCATTGGTTCTTGCTTCTTTTTGTTGCTATCTGTTCACCATTGCATATAACCATTCATCTTGCAAGTTCTCTTCTTCCCCTATTCGCATCACCTTTGTTTTTGGTGTGGGTGTGAAATCGTTGCTGCTTCCTTCTTTTCCTATGGTGATTTAGTGTATGGGTAAGCTTTAAAGCTGTTCTTCTTTCCCCTTGTTATGTCCATGAGGATGGATAGTATTTTAACAATTCAAATGATACAAATATTTAGTGTCTATGTTAAGTACAGTCATCAAATTCAAATCCAAGACATATTCTATATTGATTTGTTATATTCCAGCCTCATGACAAAATTCACTACGAAAAAAGCTGCCACTAAAAGCTGAAAAGTCATCACTGAAAGTTTTCAGCGGCAACAAAAAGTCGCAAAAGCTTTTGTTATAACAAATCAATATAGAATCTGTTTCGGATTTAAATTTAGTAACTGTACTTAGTACAGACACTGAATACTTATATCATCTCAATCGTTAAAATTTAGATCAATGGTTATAAATTTATATTTCACTTGAGATTGATAATTGAGTGAGTTTATTTGAACCAGTGGTCTGGATTTCAACGGCTCAGATGGTACATGCACTCATTGCTCATACTAAGTATAATCACCAAATCTAAATCCATCTGTTTCCCAACTATGTGGTGATGGCTCCAAACTTCTTTTATTTTCCATCTGTTTTCCCTTTTTTTATGGCGAATTTGCTTGGTTGTTCTCGGGAACAAATCCTCTAACGCCAAGATTCATGAGTTTTCGTGAAGTTTTTATTTTTTATAAAAAAAAATATTCTCTCTCTTCCTTGAAAAGAAAATTTTTAATGAAATTCACACGCTCAACTTTGAAAAATCCGTTGTCGTTATCCTCAACATGCATCACGCACAAATTGGCTCTATTCTCACACACAACTTTCCTTTGGGGGACCGATTTGATACGAAACAAATGGAGATGACTTATCAACCTTTGAATTTATATGCGAAGTTGTCAGGTCGACAAATCTTACCCGTGCAAGGCGACATAAAACTTGGGAAAAAATTACTACCGATCGAATATGGATATTTAGTGATGTGAGAGGTCATTTAATCTTAATCTAATATATTGATTAGAATTAGGCAAGAAGTAATTTTGTTCCAAAAAAATTAGGTAAGGAGGATGCCTCAGCTCCAAAGGTGATGTATTGGCATGAATGTTCTTTATTTTACTAAAAATTTAGTTAATAAGGATTTGAAAATAATATTTAAAACGCATATACTAAGTGAATGTATTTCCATCACCAAAAATAGGGAAAAAAGACCAGTTGAACAACCCACATGCACATGCATGCATGTATGGCTGTCACAAAATCTTATTTGAACTTAATTTTTGGGCAGTCTAATCTAATTTTTTTAATTCGATGATCGGATCAAAGTTGAACCGTATGGTCGAACTAGTGATTAAAGTAGTCCACGTTGCTCGGTAAATCAGGGATAATATCATAATATTAATAAAATCTCATATCTAATAGTTAAAAGGTAAATCAAAGACATACGAGTCCCACTGAAGTAGGTTAAATTTTAGCTCTAACTACCAGAACAATACGAAGCCGTGCATCATCACGTCTGTGATTTAGAAGATTTTGTTTTATTGATTGGTCCCCAAGAGCTTTAATTGCGACCAATAGGACAATCGTATATGAAAACATTACTAAAAAGAAGAATTTATATAGCGCCATTTATTAAACGATTATATGAAAAACCATTTTTATAAATAAAGGCAAGAATTTAGAAAACAATTATTAAACGGTTATATAAAAAGCCATTTTATAATTAAATAAATACTAAACATTTATTTAAGACAACCGTTTAGTACTTGTTTTAGTTTTGACACCTCTGACATCGACACAATACTAAACAATTCTGGGGAGGAAACCGTTTAGTATTTCGTTAGTTTAATATACGGTTTCCTTTGCAGAACTGTTTTATATATATTACGGAACCGTTATGTTTACATAATTGTTTAGTAATTGATTTTAAAAACTCCTCCACTTCCCCAGCTGAAAGACTCTACCTTCAAGAAGACTAGAGACCCACCTACGTGAAACTCCCAAACCCCCATTTCTGGTCATTCCTCACCTTCCTCCACCACAGAAATGCCGTGAGTCCGTCGTCATTGTGGTTGTCGTTTGTGTTCATAGTGGTTCTTTCATCGTTAGTCGTCTCACATGGTTTTTGGCTGTGGGTTTTAACCGTTTCATCGTCATCCTTTGCTTGCTGGTGTGCTTCTCCTCTCTTCCTCCATTGCTCATCATTCCACCACAGTTCTCCTGCCGCTGCGTTTCTCTCCCAACTCTTCCTCATTTGGCCATAGGTTCAAAACCTTTAAATATTAATAAAAAGGGAAAACATAACTTTGGATCCTTACATTTTGCTCGTGTTTTATTATCGGTCCCCACAAACAATGAAAAATAAAAGTGTAGGGATCTAGAATACTAAAAAAAAAAATACAGGGACCAATAATAAAACATAAGCAAAGTGCAGGGATCCAAAATGATGTTTTTTCTAATAAAAATAACCGTTTTATAAACCTTTTTTTTAGATGATTGGAATTCTAAATTTCCTTCAAAATTAAAATAAAAAAAGATAAATGTACACCATTCATTCAATATGGACAACTTAACTACGACGACAGAAAATAATTTCAAAGCTTTTCTAATTACTGTAGATTCGCAAGTTGAATAATTTGACAGAATGCACAATGCCATCTGATTAACTTGAAACTATGTTGGACACTTTCCAAGACTTCAAATAATATTAGGTAGTGTTTGAATTGGTGGATTTGGATTTTGGATTTCAAAACTTGCATTTCAAATAATCTTACATTTAAAATGCATGTGCTTAAAATTCTTTGTTTTGATATTTTAAAAAAAATAAATGGAGAAGAGAGATGTGTTAAGATTTGAAACAAAAATGGAAAATTAAGAATAATGAGTTTTTTTTAATTGACAAGGGACTTGAATGAGGTGTGACAACAATTATGATTATCATAATGACATCAACAGTGAAAATATGAAAAGAAAGAAATGTTAAAAGTGACTGAAATTTTAAATGACTAAAATATATAGAGAATTTGAAATTACAAAGGAGGTGTGGTAAGAGATTTTATGTATCCCAATGAGAGACTTGGTTCAAATCCAAATCCAAATCCCTATTAATCCAAATACACAATATAAGTCTAGGAAAAAAATTTTAAATTGAAAACCCTTTTGAAAAACATACAGGAATATTATTGGTTTACGTTTTCAAAACATTAAAGCTCATCATGATCTTACTCATTTTACATAAGATATATAAGTTTTAAACTTGAACTCTTTGTGCTTCCTCCTTAAATATAAGTCATCAAGCATACATTTAAATGATTTGGAATACTTCATATGTTAAACTCATCAAGTCAATTTGATAAGCTCGTTTACCTTGATAAGCTATTAGGACACATCTCAAATTTGACTTGTTCAAAAAACACCAATCACTAAAAAATTTTTAAAAAAAATAACATGGATCATTCAAAATTGATTTAGAATGGTTCAAATGAAAAATTTATTAAATGTATAATAATCCCACGTCGAGTAATTAGAGAATTAATAATTAATAATAACAACTATATAAGTGCGTGGGACTATCACGCATATAATAAAATCAACACCCTCTACTTATTCTTGAAATAAAAATTCATTCAAACTGAGGTCTAATGGATCACCTATCTATCAACAGTATCCGTGTGAGATCATATACAATAAATTTTAATTATTAATTAACTTAATTATGATATAAAAAGATAGGGGTGCTAGAGCTACAGCAAAAGATGATTTAAGCATGTTGACATTAATTATAACCCAGAAATATGGAGACCATAGGATCTAACTATATTCAATATTCTCTTCGATGGCAGCCAACCGCAAGTACAAGTCTTTTGTCGAATGAAAGATTATAGATATAATTATCATGGCATGATGCAACAAGAACAAAATCCTCCTCACATGCACATGGCAATTACCTAAAACTTTGATTATACAATAATGTGTAATTATTCTGCTCTCAATTGCGTCGTAAATTGTAAAAGAGAGAAAAGAGTTAAATATGAGCAAATCAACTGTGGTCCTCAAACGATGTGATCCGTTTTATTTTGAACTTTTCCTACGTTTCAGCGGTCCAGCTCGGGATTCCATTAAAAAAGGAATTTATTTATTTAATTCGGGTGAGGCTCCAAAACCATTTATTTAAAACATGCAAATATCCATCGTATACCACTGGCCCAATTCAATGAAACCACAAGGTGTGGTCCTTCATCTTATCAACATATCTCTTGCGTGAATGTTGGCTCATTGTAAACGTGCTTCATTAAACTGCATGCTTGCACTCTCACCTTTTAACTCTATAAAGAGAAGCCCTGCAAGCTTGTATCTCCACACCACACCCTCCCTTTTGAAGACTGCTCAAATATTTCAGTCCTCACATTACTCAACTAGCAGTTATGAAGACTGCTCTGTTTTTCCTTCTCTTCATTGCCTTCATCTCCACACAACACCTAACCCTAGCTACAGAAAAAGAAGTAGTGGTTGACACCAAAGGAAATCCTCTTGTGCCTGGTGAAAAATACTTCATCATGGATGCCTCAGACCATGACCGTGCAGTTACCACCGAAGTACTCTGGCAGCAACAATGCCCGGTTTCGGTGGTCTTCGGGACAGATGCTAAGAATGTGATTTTTATTCCCAAAGACAAAGACGCCACGAGCATCAAGACCCAAGAAGACTTGTACATCACATTCAATGAGGCTCCTCTGTGTGCTAAATCACCCAACTGGACTATTGAATTTTTCAGTAATAAAGTTTACCCGGTTCTTATTGGTCCACCTGAAGGTGTTCCAACCATGGAAGGTTCATTCCGCATTAGGAAATCTGAGTCTCAAACTGGTGCATATAATATTGCCTTCAATATTTTTAATGGGCCTAATACTGATTATTTCCTTGTCACCCAAGCTTACGGCGACACCCGAGACTTTTATCGTTTGGAGCTGTGTACGGATAAAGGATTCGATGTCCACTTCATCCGTTATGAAAAACCAACGACCTTAACTTCCACCTAGGCGCCTCGTATCCGTAAGATGGTGGCTTAAGTGATGATGATGGTGTACTGTGTGATATTAATAATGTTGTTGCTGATACTGTTTAACGAGCTCCCTTGTATGGCTCTAAATAAATCAGCCTTTATATCTGTATTGTTATTGATGATTAAGTGTTGTTATGAATAAATGTGACCGTCTGCTTTGTTACTACTTGACTTGAGTGCATTCTTCGCCGACTTAATCTCTCTTCTCTTTCTCCTACAATATTGGAATTTAAATCTCTTTAACTACTGTTTTATTGGCCTGAGCAATACCAAACTGGACTAACTGTAAAATAAATTAAAGCTAAAGAACAACATAAATAAATCTCATCTCATCAAATCTAAGAGCATAGGATTGGAGCTCAAGAGGAGTATAGAACAAGGTTTGTGAAGAGGTTTGGAGAGATAAGATCTTGTTTAACTTTCATCCCTTATCTCTTAGCTTCTTTCTCCACGAAAGGCTCTCAAGCTCTTATCGTTTTATCTTCTTATGCCTTGCACGAATATAAATGGAAGAAGGTGGAGGAAATGGTACTGTCGAAATGAGAAAGTAAGTTGCGTTGAAAAATTATGGAGTCCACCAATCATAATATATTCCCTCCAACCTATTTATAAGACAAACATTGAAGAATTTTTATATTCTTATTCATAAGTCATGCCATTAAATTTTATCACAAATTTTTTCCCTTATTAAATGGCAGTAGGAGAAAAATACATTATATATATATATAATAGTGACAAAGTTAAAAATTATTTGTATATATATATAATAGAGACAAAGTTAAAAATTTATTAATTTTTTAGATAAAATTAATAAATTTTTAAGTTTTCATTAGTTCTTTTTTCTTATTGTTTACAGATATCCTCCTACTAGCTAGAAGTAATCTTATTTGAAGTATGATTAAGCACTAAATGTTCGCAACTCTCTTAGTAGGGATTTAAATCTTAGTTCACTATATTATAAAAAACTAGTCCTTTTTGCTAGACCTAACTCTCATTGATAAAATTTTCATTTATTCTGGTAAAATATGTTTAAAATATCTTATAAATAAAATCGAAACATTTCTCCTTCATCATTTCTCTCTCTTCATTGCTTCCCTTAACCATGCCTACTTTTACAAACTATCATTGCTCTTTTGCTAATCATGGTGACTTTTAATTAACTATATTCACTTGTTGTCAACCATGATTAATTTCTTTAACCTTTAACCTTTTAACCATGGTAATTTCCCCTTGAGATCAACTTTGTATTCGCTCTTTTAGGTTTTAGCCTTAGATGTGGCAACATTTACTAATCTTGCTACTGGGCCAATTTGGGCTTTTATTCAAGTTAATTTCCTTTAGACCCAAACAACGTTTCTAGCTTTTAATTTAATTCTTTTTGGGATTTTCTTGCTCTAATAATTTGAGCCTGTAGCAAATACTTTCATGTTTTAAATAATTTATTTTGAGGCCTTAGAATTACTCTTCAATCCATGCAACTAGCAATTTTTCCAAAATTATTTATACTTAAGTATCCTAAACTTTCAATAATTATAAATTGCCCCATTTGTATTATGGGCTTAACTTACTTTCTTTTCCATTTTCCAGCTTGGAGTACTCTTACATGATTTTTCATATAATACTCTTTATTTATAATATGGGAGTAATCAATATGAAATATGCACATAAACACACATCCCTTAAGCCTAATATAAAAAATATTTCATTTTAAAAATACATTTTATTTAAATAAAGCCTTAATATTTTTGTGAAAATTCCAACAGGTTCTCTCCCTGAGAATAGAATTTCCCCAAAATTTTTACAATATAAATTTAAAAAAAATATTATATCATCTAGAAACTCAGCTCCTTCCAACTAATAGATGAAATATTACGAAATAAAAATCTTAACCATAACTTATGTAAAGCACCTATAAAATTATTTATAAAAGTACAATATAGAAATTAAAATTTTACATTAAAAATAGACATTAATCAAAATGATATCTTAGCTTCAATTCAATAGCAAAATCCCTTAAATGATCTAATGCAGGTACAAGCTACTTGAGATTAAAAAATATTTTTCAGTGAATAATGTCCCAACCATAACATTTTTATAACATTAAAGTGAATAAAATATAATAGTTACATAAATTAAAGAGAAAGTAATTCAATGTAAATGAATTTGTAAGCTCAGAATAAAAATTCTATATAACTTCAATATCAAAAAACTTTAAATTTATAACGACAAAAAAGCTTTAACATTTGATCTTGACAAGTCAAAATAATTAAATAAATATATAAATGAAAATATTAACATTTGCTAATTTAAAATCATTAGAGTGTGAAATCATCAATTGATTAAAAATTCATATTTCTGAAAATTTATCAAAACAATTCACAAACGTGGACACATAATCTATGAGGGTAAATAATTAAATACAGCTTATGCCACAAAAACAAACATGAACACACAGTTTACAAGGATAAGTAACCAAACACAGCTTGAGCTACGAAACAAACATGAACACACAGTCTACAAGAATAATGCTAATCAAACGCAACTTGAAACCATGAAACAAACACAGATATGAGGTTCACAAATAACAAATGTGAGGACAAAGTTCATGAAAATTAAACTAACTAGTTGTTGACCATGGCGCGTTAAAGACTAATGGAACTGTCATTAACAATCAATGTTCTGTATAAAATCTCCTTTAAATTCATTTTCAAACATACAAGAAAGTCATCACTATTAAAATATATTTTCCATTCTCAAAATCACATGAAGAATTTTGAGCATTAAAATCTTGCCGGAATAAAATTTCATAATTGATGTCCATGCTTGCATTTATTGAGAAACCAATATTACCAATGCTGATAAAATATTTTCATGAATCTTGAAAGTATCCTTTGTAAGGAAAAACATACACATCATAATTTAAATATCCTTCAACATCTCTTTACAATTTTTCAAGATAAAAATAATTTAATTAACAAAGTATTAAATACATAATATAATTGTTATCAAATGACCTATAAAAAAAATTAGAAAAAGAATTTTATTTATAAATCAATTGAAACACTATCCACTTACCTATAATATTCCCAAGTGCAAAATTCACCTTTTAAAGCTTCAATCCTTCCTTACTACCTTAATTGAGATTTTCTTTCTCCAAATCCTCTATAATACAAATTTTTTATGACCTTTATCCATGTTTAATAAACTCCTTTCCCATAACAACACTATAGTCACTGAGTTCTTAAATCAATCCGATATATAACTAAAGTTCTTCAGTCTTTACAATACTTTATATATATATATATATATATATATATATCTAAAGCTTTGTCAATACTACACTTGTCTTTCCAACTCTTCTCAAACACAAATAGTTAAATTTTAATTAAGGTATGTATATTACATGAGTGCACATCCAACTCTAAAAAAAATACTTCTATAACCCGCTTTATCAAACACCTTAAGTGCCTCCCAAAATAAGTCAACACCATAATTCATAAATCATCAATAGTGCCATTTCCAAAATTTAGTTAACCACCCAATAACTACATAATTAAAATTCTCCACAAGGTTAAGTTGACTTAAATAGAAACCATACCAAATGCATCATCATAAAATTAATAGAATCCATAAATTATATAATTAAATAAAAATCTTTTTAATAGACATTTTTATCAAACATGTATCATGCATTAATTTTTAAACTCAAATCAAGCATTTTCCTCCTTTGATTCCAACTACCAAAAATTTTACAAAATAAATATTTGAATCAAGCAACCTCCCAAATTTTATAAAAGATAATTATCTTCCAATGCTAATTTATTTAATCAGTAATATAATCATTATATATATCAAAAATCAAGCCATTATATAACTAAACTCTCTCTTAAACATTCTATCAAACACTTTGTCAGCATTGAACGTCAACTATAACCAAGCTTCTTCCTATCTAATTTCATATTTCAAAAATTTTCTAATATAGACATGAAATTAATCAGCTTTCCTAGTTCCATTAATCAATAAATCAATCAATCTTAATTCAAGGAAAAAAATTCCTCATCATCCATATTATTCGCGACAGCAAAGGAAGGAAGGAAAGATTTCACAATCTCAACCCACAAATGCTCGTGCAACAATAGAGAAGTGAAGGAACAAATTACCGCACCTCAGATCATCCACAACACGAAAAGGAAGGAACAGAAAAGGGGCAACAGAACAGGGGAGAAGAAGACAACTACAACCCAACCTTACAGCGTCTTAAAAATAGAATCTCAAACATTAGACACCCACACACCTGAACAAAACCAACTAGGAGGAGGAAAGAGTGGCACACCCCATAGCCACTAGACCGGCGGCGACCCAAAACATCCAGGAACAAGGCAACGTTGCTGAGTGAAGAAAATCCTACAGCAACCATCACAACAGCAGAACAAACAGAGAAGGAGACGCAGTGGACAGAGATGACGCACCTTTCGACCGCATCCTGACTGGAGGAGAAGGAAGCTTAACGATGGTTAATGAAAAGAAGAGAAGGAAAAAGGAGGAAGCATGATGTCAGTGAAGAGAAGGGAAAGAAACGGATGCTGAACGATGCTGTGCTTTTCGCACAAGGAAGGGAAAAAAATATCTGATCAAAGAACAATTGGAAAAATTATAGGAAAGGTCCCAAATTTTTTTTATAACATAACAGAGCATTTTGGTAATTTTTCCATTATTAAAAAAAATAAAATAAATCAATTACTCAAAAAGATTTGGACTGGACCTTCAAGTAAGATACTATCATAAATTACAGTAAAATATTATTGCCCACTTGTTATAACTAATTTGAATAAATATTAATTGAAAGAATTTTTTTATAAAAATTTAAATTTATGATCATTACAATTTACTCTTAAATACTCAAATTTTAAAAATTATACTTCCGTAACATTAGTTGTCATGTACTGGTCCCATGTTAAACAAAATTAATTTGTGATACAGATTTTGCAAATTATAGGTATATCTTGTCGTATACTAACTTACTATATATTTACCATAACTAATTACTATTCCCTCTATCTTCAAATAGATCAATTCATATAGTTTAATAAAGTTAGTTAAGTATAAAAATTATGTTTGAAATTAAAAAAATTATATTAAATTATCCTTGTATTATTATGAGAGATAATTTGGAAAAATGTAATAAATACTTATTAAAATTTATAATTTTACTTATAATTAAAAACAAAGAGATAAATGATAGTTTTTCTCATATTTCAAAATGGAGAGAAAAGGCCGCCCTCGTCACTTACTTCACTTTATTATTTTGCATCAGCCTAACTAGAAATAATATGAGCTATTTAGAAAGAAAAAAATCCAGGATATTATCTTTGTATTAGCCAACCAAATTCAAAAGGCATGTACATTCTAAATTCATTCTAGGTCATCGCTCTCCCTGAAAGCTGTTATGTCATTTAACTTAGGAATTATGTTGCTTAGATCTATTGTGACCGGGAGATCTATTTGGATCTCACTTAAATTAAACTTGTCAAGATCTACTATGATCTTTAGATTCTACAGTGACTCTATTATATTGCACTAGGAACTACTGTGACCCTAGGGATCTGTTGTGATCCCTCTTTGGGTGTGACAAAGAACTAGAGGACTAAGTTGTAAAATAACTTGCCTCTACTCAATCAGGCAACTATAGTGATTATTCTTCAAGATTGATATCAAATGGCACTATAACTCTACTGGCCTAACTTTATCCTTTCATCTCATTTTGGAATTCCCACTACTAGCTCCAAAAAAATACATCTAAAAACACATCTTTAATATTTACACCTTACCCCAAAAAATACTCTTAATTGCACGCTAGTCCCTAGCTATGTTTCTAGCACTTGAGGGAAGAACTTCTAGGATTCCTACTCCACTAACTCTCAGCTGGGCTAAATAGCATACTAAATTTAGACTTATGCTGGGACTATTAGGCCCACAATTTGGAACGTTACAAGCATGATGATGCTTAATAAAAATTTATCGAAATTGGAAAATAAAACTAAATTTAAATTATTGAATTCGAATATGAAATTACTTATTCCTTAAGTACTTACAAGGATATTCTGAAGAACGGATTGATATAAAAAAATAAATCTATAACCTCTAAAATTGATCCATATAATCCAAAGAAGCATTGTCTGCTCAGTCGTAAAACAGATATGCATTCAAATTGGACAACTAACTAAACAACAACAAAATATACAAGCCCAAAACTTTTCCGATTACTCTAAATACCTATGACCACTAACATTTTTAATATGTGGCAATAACAAAAAATCACTGCAACATGGTGCAAAATCATATCCTATAGATGTATAGGCAACGGTTTTTGAGTATAAAACTTGTCCCCATTACCTATAGTCTAAGGCAACAATTTTTTCACACTTTAGACCATAAATCATAAAACTGTTGTTTATGGTAAGACAATAGGCAATAATTTTGGGACATTGAAATGAGCAACAGTTTTTTTTTTTTCTATTTCTTATCATATAGGAATAAACAACACTTAAGAATTATTGCAAAAATATTAAATAGTCAAAATTTATCATTTCCTTCCTCACCTAGAATTCAAACCCTAATCCTTTTACAGAGAAGATGGCTTTAACCACTTTTGTAACATGACATTTAGTTATTATAATGCAAAAAAATTATATATATATATATATATATAATTGTTAAATTAAATTTTAAAATTTTCTAATTAATAAATAAAATTAAGAAAACAAATAAATAAAAGAATATAGATAAGTAATCAACAAAATGAAGATAAATTTATATTAATAAAAAAATAACAAGCAATAGTTTTTAAATGTTTCTAAAAAGAATATAAATAGGAAACAATTTGAAATGTTACACGAAAAGTACTTTAAAATCATTGTCTATTCTACTTTAGAAAACAATTTTCAAATGTTGCCAAATTTTATTACTTAAAATAAGAATTAATAACAAGATGCAAAAATTATTGCTTATATGCACATTAGGCAACACTAACAAAAACTTTTGCCTAAAAAAAAACGTTGTCGTGACCTAAAATAAACATTGCAAGAAGAATTTAAACAATGCAATTCAAATTTCTCACATTTTAAATTTCCCAGAATTTTGTTGTGCAGCAATTTGAAACAGAAAAGAAATTATAAAACAAAAGTTGTCACATCCAAAAAATAAGGTGAGACTGACATAAGATATATATTCAAACACACATTCCTTAAGCCTTAATTCAAAAAATGCCTAATTATAACCATAAATATATCTATCATACAGAGTAAGATTATTTAATATAAGCTTTATATGATAACAAAAGTAATAAATTTCTAAAGGAATTTCAACAAAAACTCACCTAAAAATAAGACTTTTCAAAAATCCTACAATAGCATTTTCACAACAAAATACTAAAATAGCATTTTCACAACAAAATAACCACAGGAAGCTCAACTCCTACTAGCAGATCAACAATAGAGATAGTCAAACAAAAATCCTATCTATAGCTTAAGTGAAGTACTTAAAACAAGATTACAAAATATATTTTACAAATTCAAGTTAGTTTACATCCAAAGAGGGCGGTTTGTGAATTCCTCCACTTCAATTTAGTGGTTAACACTTCAACTCTTCAACCTTGATAGTAAACCCCTCAATGATCAACTGAGTATCTCAAACCAAAAATATTTTTTAATGAATAACGTCCCACTCTAAACTTAAAGAAAATAAAGGAAAAGTGTGCTAACAAAACAATTATGAATTTAACAATGTCCATTTGAAAAATAGAAAACAAAAACACATACCTCACAGGCCAATAAATTTTATGAAAATATATAAATCATTTATGGATGAATTCAACTAATGATAATATAGCATTCCAGTCCTACTTTTACGCTACAACATTTGCTTTAAACAATTAAGGAATATGTATGAGTCATTATAAAATCCATACAAGATGTCAGGACAACTTATTTAACAAAATCAGTTTAAATAGATGGTAAGTTTCAAAACTCATTCTTAGCATAACTTAATCAAAACAATTAACAAGTATGAACATATAGTCCAAGAGAGTAAATAACCAACAAGCGAAGACACAATTCAAGAGAGTAAATAACCAAGTACAGCAGAAGGTCACGATACAAGCGTGAACACTAAACTCACGAATAACAATCGTGAGTACTATGCTCACGATTACCAAGCTAGTTAGGATTTAACTGTGGCTAACCAAGGGTTAACAGTACTATCATTAGCAACTAGTGTTTTGATTTAATCCACATTTTAAATCAAGCATGGATGGCTCTATAAAATCAAAATATTATTTCTTCCAACATATTTCATCATATTCTATATAAAACAATTTATCCATATTTTCCATGCATGAATCAATGGTAAATCATTCCTTAAACCATATATCAACATCAATATATTTAAAATGATCAAAGATATTCAATCATAGAATAATTCTATCTTCTCTTAAGACTTAGTAAAATGGAAGTATTTTTATTTGCAGTAATCGATATGGGGATCAAAATTACCCTAATATAATTATGTTAATATGCTTAACAATAGCTTTTTTAAAAAAAAATTGTTGATGTTCCTTTTGAAACATTATCCACTTACCTGAAAAGATCCCAAGATACTAATTTGCTCCATCTACACATCTCTCAATTGCCATTTGGGCTATTCTATTAGCTAGATAAGAAAAACAAACGACTTTATTTAATTATAACTCTACTTCAAATATCTTCAATAGAAATGCATGAACCCAATATCTAGTCAAGAATTTATTAAAGATTTCTCAATCCTCATTTGTCCCTAACCCACAAGCCATAGTTAAAAATTAAGGCTAAGATGTATTTTTACCCTTGAACTTCTTTTTGAGAAGCACTGGGCACTCTATACTAATAAATAGGGTAATTTTTCCCCTGAACCATTTTTCAAGGAGCAAAAAACCCCTTTGATTAGTCATCTGTTAATTTTCCTATTTTCTGTTAGCGTGGCATGTGCATGGAGCCCACACATAGTGATAAGTGAGACTCTAACCATATCATTTAATGCTAATTTGCCTCTAAACTCTTTTTCCAGGAGTGTTGGGCACTCTAAAGTCTTATTAAAATAAAATTTAATAAATATTGCCAAAATATTAAATATATTAATATTTAATAATTTGAATATTATTATTTATAAACTAGTAAACTAGCTTTAACTACCTTATGATTAGCAGCATATTCAATTATGAAAAATTTTAGTTTTTTAAGTTATATAAAATAAAAATTTAAAAGATAATGAAACCATAATTATCTACGTCAACCAATAAAAAACTTGTAGGAGGCATGGGCATAACAATGGCCTTCTACACATTATTTCATAATATTATTGGTGGATGTAGTTAAGACTGGTGAAGTAAATATAAAAATGTGTGTGTGTGCATGCGCGCTAAGGCTACCCCCCCCTCAAAAAAAAAAAAAAAACCATGTTTGATTAAAGCTTTAGTTTGTTTTCGCTATTAAGTTAGAATATCCTTAACTAATACTTGATACTAATATTCTTTAATGTTACTAAAAAAATTAAAACTCTTTATATTCTGAAAGTCTCTTGGAATATTGGAAAGAGGATCACAGGCTTGTTTTCTTCTTCCTAGCATGATAATTAAGATTTTGTAATGCTAGAGTTGTTTTATGAGAAAGATCAAAGATTTTGTGATGCTAAAGTTGTTTTCTTCTCAACCTTCTTTTGATCTTTCTTAGCTTCAGCTACAAGACCAGCAGCAGCTATTGCTTCACCACTAACAACCAACTAAACAAACTAAGAAAATAGACTGAGATGAGGTCCAAAATGTGTCTGACTGAACAAAAATCATTGAAGTAAAATTGAAAAGACCAAGAGTATAGCTGTACGCAAAAAAATTAGCTTCCCTTCATAAATGATGTACCTAGAGTTGTTGCAAAATCCCAACAAAGAAGTAGGGGAAATCTGACTTCATCCGTGATGAGTAAATTTTGGACTACAAACTGTGATAAGCACGTGATTATAAACCAAAATCAAGGCTAAAATCATTGCAGAGCTCCTTCCTATACAAAACCAAAATCCCACTCTCTGTCTCTTTTCCAAATAGCTACAGCACAAACACAGTATCCCTTGCATGTTAAATTGACAAACAAATTTAATAACTAATTGCCATAGATCATTTTAAAAGGCAAGGATTTGTGTAACAAATCAAACCATTCAATTTCTTAATAGTGGAAACTGGAGTTTGCCAAAACTGTTGCACACGAGGAAAATAACGAAAATTACAAAGAAAGAAAAGTGAGTTTTTTCTCTTTCTTTTTTTTAATGAAGTACCTTTCACGCCAATGTTTGAATGGAAATTTATCATTTAAATTTATTTATATCTTCACTTATACTTTGCATGTTCTTTTCCTCTGAAACGTTGCTCTCTCTCTCTCTCACTCTGCTTAACTACAATGACAAAGAAAGTCACTTAGCTTTTACTTAACAAAACGTAGTGATTTAACCTGGAAAAGACACTTTTTTTGTATGAAAAATGAAATCAAAACAGCAACAGTAGCAGTACAAAGCAAAAAAGCAGCAACTACCACCCTACTAAGAAAGGAGGTTCTTTTATCAATGATATACAAATCGTTTACAAAAGTATGACAAATCCCAGCTAAGCAATCAGCTAGGCAATTAGCTTCTCTATAAAGACACTTCGGTGTATAAATATAACACGCTTTCAGAAGATTTCATTTCATTTCAAAAATTTGGGTCCCAAAAAACTCATGCAGCAAAAGCAAAGTTTGTTAAAGAAGACTTCCTTGCATATTCAACAACGCACTTAGGTCTCTCCTCACAGGAGCATATTGAACTAACAATATCATGTTCATCTCTAAAAGACGTGATTCTATGTCTCCTAAAGAAGAGCCTTTCATAAACCAAAATCATAAACGGAAGGACCAATTTGCCACAAATAAAGTCAATCAGACTAAAGTTCATCACTCTACAAAGAAATAAATAAACAATGAGAAGAATATTGGGAAGCCTAGTAAAATTAATAATAATTTGGAATAAAATAACCATACAAAACTCATGCTTTCAAATAGGGAACATGCTGCCACTGGATAAATTACCAAGGTTCAGATTTGTACAAAAGATCCCTTAATTTTTAGTTACATTAGTGTACTTCCATTTTATTTAATTCATTGTGCTCCAAGTTGTTCAGATTTGTTCTTTGATAGACAGCTTCAAAAACTGAAAAAGCATTACTCCAAAACTTGTTTTAATAATTATTATTCTCAAGAGGCAAGAGTAGAAACAGAGCATATAACAATTACAGTGACAATAATTGTCACGCATGGATATGGAGGATAATACCAAGACTTCAAAGATATGAAAATCATTATACATGGAAAGGCCAATCTGCAAAATTGGACTTCCTAAAATGTTGGAAAAAAATGCAGTCTGGTCCTTTGAAAGAGTGAAAGGGATATTAAAGGCCAATCAATGAAAGGTCAATCTGACTAAATTTGCATTGTTGTGAACTCATTAACTGTCGTTCAGTATCTGACTTTTTGTTGGCTAGGATCATCATTTCAAGGACTTCCAGGCTTTCCTCATTTTTTAGCAAGATACCTGTTGGTGTTGAAGGGATGCTTATGTTTCAACTCAATGGACCACAACAATGCTAAACCATATAATGAAGACCCTATTGGTAATACTCATAAAATGGATACCCCACGCTTAAAATAGTGATCCTTGGAAAAGAAAGAACAAAGTATGGATCAGAAATTATACCTGGATAATCACAGCAACAAGCCCATTTTTGTTGTGACATCTACAAAGAAAAATAATCAAGAAAGGACATCATATCGTAAGAAACTCAAAGCTACTGAACATAGAAAGTTTTCAAGATACCTGCCATTGAAGTTTGAAAACCCAAAAAGAAAGAAAGCAAAAGTCAAAAAAAGAAAGAGAAAATACCAATCTTGAAAAGGATATGACTTGAGTAATGTCTCAAATCAAGCTTAAAAGACAAGAAAGTAAAATAACCTGCTAGAGAACCCAAAGATGCAGATTTTCCCAAGCATCCTTCCAAATTTAACATATAAAGCTTTTATGATCCTGAAATGAATCAAGGCATTATTAAAATGGAAGAAAAAGAGATGGCTGTAAAAAAAATTACGGTTACTACCTTATAGGAAAGACACTCACCTTAAGTCAATGGAAGAAAAGGCGAACTGAAACTACTCTGATCAACAAAGATAAATAAATTAACTATGCGAACTGAATCTACAGATCAACAAAGATGAAGTGCTTTAAACTATCACTGCTACAGAACGCAGGAAAATTAAAAAAAAATGAAGTGCTTTCAACTATCCTACTACAGGCAAGAAATAAATAATGTATCAAAACTTTTCTACAAGATATTGCTGCCTGTAGTTTAAACCAAAAAAACATACTGAATCAGCAGAGGCAGGGATAATACATCAAACAAAATAAATCAACAAAACAAATCAAAAAGCACCCCCTTGGAAACAAAAAGTAAATAAATTTCAATTGAAAATTGAAGGGAAAATGCAGAACCGAAATTGAAACAGCCATAATGGAGGAGAGATTTCCGGCAGCGTTGTTCTAGAAATTTATTTCATTTCCTTCCCTCAATTTTTCCATCCACTCATTCTGACTAATTCATCCGTGGAGGAGTAGGAGGAGGAGGAGGAGGAGAAGACTACAAAGAAGAAGAAGAAACCGATCAAGAAATGAGAGATAATAAAGCTAAGAAGAAACTGATGAAGAAGAAAGAGGGGAAAGAACTTATAGAAGCGAGAGAGGGAGAGAGAAAAGAGACAGGCAAGATGATAACAGAAAAAGAAAATGCGTACCTTTGTAATTCGTCAAATGAGATGACTACGCAACAATTGCTTAGGCATCTGAGAAAAAGACTCGGCCATATTTCGTTACACCCCAAAAATAGAGGGTGATTAGCACAAGATATGAACCATATCGTACATGTCATATCACAATACTAAGGGTATGATTGGCATGAAGTATGAGGTGAACTCATATTCATAAATCTTGACTAATCAGAAATTAAGCTAAATTATCGATATATATAAGTTATATATAATAAAGTTCATAAAGTTTTAAATCTTTTGCAGAAATTTCGACAGGGTTCCTCCTATAATTTGAACCTTTCAAAATTTCTATAACAGCAAAACCTATCAACCAAACCAGCAAAGAGACTAACTCCATTCCAACAATTTACATAATAACAAAACAAGACTGAGACCTAACTATGGTGCCCGTGGAGTACTAAGCTATGATTACAAAATAAAATATGTAGTTTTACCAAAACAATAATCACAATAGGCTTCCTCTTTTCCAAAAACAAAATGACCCCACAATGATCCGCCGGAGATGTAGGGTCAGCTACAATATCTGAGAACAAAGAAATTACCGATAAGAAGCGTTCGAATCAAAATTGTAATAAAGAAAGTATGAAGATAATAAATAATAAATTTAACTCAAAATGACTTAAAAAAATAATAAATCATATACTTAGACTAGAAATAAATAATGATTTTCTCAATAATATAATCATGAAATTAAACAATGCTAACAGAATCACATAAATGTGTTAAAAATTTTACTACTCATAAAATATGAAATTTTCAATAATAATATAGTTTGATAAAGTACTTTTAGAGAATTACTAGAGAAATGATAAATTTTAACTTAAATTTAGGAGGGTTTTATCAGAATGAATAACAAGCGTGAACACATAATTCACGAGGGTAAATAACAAATCAAGCGTGGACACACAATCTACGAGGGTAAATAACTAGCCAAGCATAGCTGAAAGCACGAAACTAATACAAGCATGAAGCCTATGAAAACAAGTATAAGTATAATGCTCACGAATAACTTACCCTCCGATCCACATACATTGGACATTGCACAAGACTTGCACCTCCTATAAGCACCCTGCTAGCTAAGTATATCATGGCGAACCAAAGGCTAACAGAACTGCCATTAACATCCAGTATTCTAAACTCAGTCCTCCTCAACAAAATTAAGCATGTATGGAGCAAGAAACCAATTTCAAAATTTTCATTAGCAAGTACTATCCAACTATCATTTTTCCATTAACCAAATAATTTATCATTTCTTCCATACACAAATCATTGTAATAAAATCTTGTGTCAATGTAGAATTAAATAATTAATTGCTTATGAGAAATAATACCAGTTGTCATATATGTTTCAATCATTTCTTATCAATAATATAAATCCTTAGTAAAATTAACACGTGTTCAGAGATAAAACAATTATAAAAATAAGATTAACATGAATATTGTACAATTTATAAAGAAATAATAGTAAAATTTAAATAAAGAGATTTTACAAACATGCTACCAAAAATGGATTTGGAACACTACCCACTCACCTGAAAGTTTCGAAAAACCTTATATTCAGACTCCCTCAATTTCTCACTTACTCCAATGATGCCGAAAATCAATCTAATACATAACCCAACAATCCTCATATCATTATGAATTTTTTTCTTCTCTATAATAATCAATTTAAATTAATATTTAAGCTCTTCAATATTGCTTTAAATTTCTCACTAACCCCTTAAACTCTTATTGAACCTACCAACAATGTCTATCAAGTAGTTCAAGAATACTTGGCATCACTCCATTTTAACCATTGACATGGCCCTTATTCCATATTAACAAAAATTATAATTAACAAATAATTTAACAATTTCCCTTTAGATGACACACGATTCCAATAAGTGGTTCTCAACCATACAACATATATATGTAAAAACATGTAATTTCTCAAGTTGCATCTATAATTCCTCTATAATCTACTATGAAAATTAAATAGCCATATCTCCTTCAAATTTCATGTTCAAATACCTTAAAACATAATATGAACTAAATCATAAGCAACTTCATAATTTGCAAACAATAATTTAGATATCGTTCGAGTTCCAAGTATACTTAGTTAATTAAACTATTTGACAAATCTTAATTCATCCTTATACCTTCTTGTAACCCATCCTTAATTATAAATCATAACAAACCATGTCATTATTCTTATGCTTCCTTTAAACTTAATAACGTATTATGCAAAAATTCTATGTAATCCTTATTCCTAATTGGTATTTTAAAATTCCAATCGGTAGCTCAAATCAAAACTTATATATCCTCTTTCAAACTATAACATGGAAGTTTAACAACATTCGTTCCACTAAATTCTTCTTTTAAGTATTTCTACCAGTACTTGAGGGCATTTCCATCAATTAAATCATGAAACAAGCATCCAAAGAATTTCAATAACTTACAACATTTAATTCTCTAATTAAAATCCAGTTTAGCATCAAAATGAATTGGCATCCATAAACGACACCTAAATTCAAATTTAATAATTATCAACTTCAAAGTACACCTTTGAATTTTCTCAAGTTTTCTTGCTAAATTCGTAAGCCACAATAACAATCAGCTGGAACAACAAAGTAAAAGTTTTCAACCTCACCTAAATGCCATAGCATCATAGAAAAAAAGAGTCAAATCTCTTAGCTTCAATACCCACGGAAGATCAGAAAAGGAGGAGGAAAAAAAAAAATCAGAAACTCACTTCTTAAGCATGCAGACCACCGGAGGAAGGCAGAAGCCCAAACTCCCTGGTCACCCATGCACACCACGCCAGCACCGAGGATAGAAAGAAACAGAGGAACGTGAAGCAGCAGCAGAAAATCACAGCACACTATCACGGTGGCGAGGAGGCGAGCAGTGACAACAAGATTCGGCGAGCAGAGGAGAAGGGTGACAGCAAGGAGAGCAGTCCGACAGTGAGGGAGGAATTCGAGACGGTGAGGAGAGAAGAAGAGCAAGATGTCGGTGAAGAGAAAGCGAACGCAAAAATGCTGTGTTTTTTTCTCCCAGAAAGAAGATAAATCTGATGAGAAGGTAAAAGTGGAAAATTACAAGAAAGAGAATAAAAAAATGACGAGAAAAAACACAAAAAAGTTACAAAAAATGACACAAAATTTTTGTATAATTTAAAATAAAATAAAATTAAACTTTTCTTCAATAAAATTCGAACTTTAAATTTTTAAAAAAATTATTAGCAAAAATTTTAATAAATTACCACCCTTTACTTGCTATAAAATTTTAACAATTAAATTAAATAAAATATTAATTGAGAGAGAAATTTACTTAATTTAAAATTTAGGATAATACATTTCCTAAGCCTTAAATTGAGATTTTATTTTTATTTTTAAAACATAATTAGATTTATATTAAAATTATATCTTTAATAATATAACGAAAGTTTCAATATTTTTGTAAAAATTTGGACAAAACCTTTACCATAAATAAGGTCTCACAAAATTTCTACAACACAATGTTTTATGCAAAATATCATATCAATCATAATCTCAACTCCTTTCAATTAGCAGATAGATTATATATATCAAAATCAAGACCCTAACTATAGTTTATGTGAAGCATCTAAAGTTTAATTTACATAATACAATTTCATAATTCAAATTTTATATCAAAAGGTAGCTTAATTTACAACCCCTCCATTTTCCAGCCAGTGATAAACCCTTCAATGATCAGTAAGAGATTTAGTGTTAGTTAATGAATTTGAGACCAAAGTATTTTTCAGTGAATAGCATCTCAACATATAATTTTAAAGAGTAAAATAGTAAACTCAAATAATTATGTAAATTAATTAAAAGAGGATAATTCAGTATAATAAATTCATTAAATCTAGAAAATCTCAATTATAATCATAAAATGACATTGAACTAGAATTTCTTCATTCTATTTTGCTTGAAGATAGCAAATCATTTACGTATAAATAAAAGTAGTATACTTAATAGTTGAAACCATTGAACATTTAAATACACAAGTTAATTAAAAATCTAGAATTTTGAGGACTAAACAAACAGAAAACAAATGTGAATACATAGTCCATGAGAATAACTAAGTAGACATAGTCGAAGCCATGAAACAGACGTGAATACACAATTCACAAGGGTAACTAACCAGACATGGTTGAAGCCACGAAACAAATGTGGACACACAATCTACGAGAACAACTAACTAGACATGGTCGAAGTCACGAAACAGACGCAAGTACAAGACACATAAATAAAAGACGTGAGAACAAACTCACAAAACCGAACTAGTTAGTCATTAATCATGACAAACCAAGGGTTAACGAAGTTGCCGTTAGCAACAGTGTTATGTTTTTAGTTCTCTTAAAAATCTCATTTCAAACATGTGAAAAAAATAATTATTACTGAAATAAAATTTTCATTCTTAATGTCAAACTCGCGTAAATTATTTTCAAGCACCAATTCAATACTTGTCAAAATAAAATTTTATAAAAATGTTCATTCTTGCATTCATCAAATAACTAAAATTTGTCAAAGCTAATCCAAAATAATTTCATAAATCTTGAAAATATAATTCATAATAGAAAATACATGTACATGCCATACTAAATTATTCTTTGCCACAATTTTATTTTCACATGATAAATAATTCAATTAACAACCTATCCGATATTTATCATAGAAATAAAAATGATCTACATTAAAAGATAACATTTTGGTAAAAGACTATTAATAATACACTTATCTGAGGCATTTCCAAACATATACCTTACTTTTAATTAGCTATTTTTATAATATTACCCGTGCCTTCATTCCCTAATGCTCCAAGAGACATTGTTGATATTCCTATCATGCATTTTATAAATCAAAATTTTCAACCCAAACGAATTTAAAAATTTAGGAAAGAAAATCTTAACATCAACATTACCATTCATGTATATCCAAATTCTAAACTTCATTTCTCAAACATTTTAATACTGAACAAATGGGTTACGGGCAAGCCTGTGGGCTAGCTCGCGCAGGCTAGCATTTGTGCGGGTTAGGTTAGGCCAGCCCGTTAGATAAAACAGACTAAAAAATTTAACACAACTCATTTTCTAACGGGTTAGCCAACCTGTGGGTTAACCCGTAAAAAATTATCAAAAGTTTTTTTAATAATTTAAAATTTATATAATATAAATATATATATTTATTTCATATTTTAAAGCAAATTAGAAATTAAAAAAAATTTGTAAATAAATAAAATAAACATAAAATTCAACCAAGCAAATTCATTTCGCTAGATTTTTACTATCCAATATCAATCATCTTTTCGCCTAGGTGTGTTATCTGTCATTGAGAAAAAAAAATTTGAATATAAACCCATATTATTTTTCTCAATGAATTCATATTTATAATTTCAATCAATAGATCTTATGAGATTAATAAATAATATATATTCAAAATATTTCTATAAAACTAACAAATCATCTTCACAAACTATAACAAAAAATTTATTTGTAAATTGTAAAAAGAATTACATTATATTTCAAATGTAAAGAACATATTTGAGAGTCATAAATTATATATTTAAGAAACATTATCATTATTGTAGATTTATAAAAAATATAATGTAATTAAAAAATAAAAAATTATTTTTTTAAAAAAAATAGGCTAGCTCACGGGTCAACCCGATTTAGCCTGCTAATTTTGCTGGTTGGACTACCCAACCCGTTTTAAAAAAACGGATTAATTTTTTCAAATTAACTCATTAAATTATACAGGTTAAATGAGCTAGCCCACAGGCTCAACCTATTTTTCCAACTCTAAAACATTTCATCAATTACTTTACAGGCACATAGGAATTAACACAAGAACAAACAAACTTTGTTTTTGTAACATCCACCAAGTACAAAATTCTCTAATTTCATTTCCATCCTTGTATTATAGAGAAAATTACCTACTACAGCAATAATATGTTTCTCACATTCATTTGCTACTAAAGATTAACATCCTCTTATCAAACATCTCACCAAATGCCTTGTGGGCATTCAAAATCAAGACATACGGCAATCATCTTTCTCTTGAAGCTTCTTTCCCAAAAATGTACTAATCCACGTCCTTTAAATTTAATATACTCCCCAAACTCAGTTCTTTATCAAAATCAATTTAATTCCTAAAAAAAAATAGCATCTAAATCAATTTCCTTCCTACAAAGACCAAAATACTCAATGAATCATTTCTTACCTAGTTTTCAATTTAAGTTTGTTTGAACAATAATATCTCTTCGCACGCACAGCAACTAATTTAGAAGAACAGAAATAGAATTTCCAGCAATTACCCACATCGCAGAAATCACACAAAATCGACGCAAGGGAGAGAAAATAAAGCTTAAACTCACCAAAAAGCAAAGAAGAAAAAGGATTGAAAGATTTGGAGTCTCCCCCTCACACATAGAATAGTGCTGTCGCAAAGCAAGGAGGAAGATACCAGCTCTGGTCGATGGCGTGATTGAGAAAAAAGAAAGGAAGAAATGAGAACTTGGCCTCCATCAGTGACGGACGAATACGAAGAAGGAAGAACAAGTAGAACTAGATCAAGGAAGAAGAAGAACCACCACGACAGCAACCAAGGAAGAGAGGAGAAATCAACCAGCTTCCACCACTCCCAACGGTGGCACAGCTTCGGCGACCAGAGGAGAAGGTTGATGGGAGGAGAAAAGTCTGACTGTGAGGAGAAGAATCCGACAGTGAAGAGAGGAGGAGCACATTGTCGGTGAACAAGAAATAGAAACGCAGATGCTCTGTTTTTTCGCATAAGGGAAGATAAAATCTGATCTAAAAAAGAAAAAAATTATACGAAAGAATATAAAAAAAATTATAAAAAAGACACAAAATTTTTTATAATTTAAAACAAAAAAAAACTGAACTTTTATTACTTCATAGAATACGAACTCTAAATCTTTAAGAGAATTTACTAATATAAATTTTAATAAATTATTATTTTTTACTTTCCATAAATTTATTTTAAATAAAATATTAATAAAAAGATTATTTTTTTAAAAAAAATTTGTGGTGATTACATATTTTCTCCAATGATTAGATACTAAGGCCATATTTAATATCATTGAATTGGCAAGGTAAAAATAGAATTAAAGATAGAATCTTAATTTAAATATGATTGGTATGCAGGAGTTGCAATTCCTAAAAATTCTAGTTTTACCAAAAATGTTAGAATTCAATTATATCATATTGACCATGGAATTGCTTCAATTCTCTTAAATTTAATTTGTGAACCTCACTATGCTCATCTTTTTTGTTCATTTATGACAAGGTAAGTCTTTTTAATTTTGAAAAAAAAAAAAGCAATTTGGTCTTTTCTCATTTTAAATACATATATAAATTAATATTATATTAAAATTTCATTTTCATACCAAACACATTCTTAAAACTTAATTTTATTTTGATTTCATTAACAAAATCTTCATCGTGCCAAATGAGGCTTAAGATTGCGCGGCTGCGCAACTAAGATTGAGAATGACGAGCTTAGGCTTCCGGAAATTTCAGAGAACAGAGGTAGGAAGGGAAAGAAGCGACTGATGAAGGAGGGAAAGGAACGGGTAAAGAAGCAAGAGAGCGAGGAAAAGAGGTAGCAGCGTGCAGGCATGTGTCCCTCTCACGTGGTTGCTTTATGCAATATGTGCGGCATGTTTGAAATGCATAATGGGAATTATGAATAAAAAGCAAACAAAAAAATAAATAAATTTATAAACATTCAAGTTTTTTTATGGGCGAAAAAAAATACTAAGTTAAATATTCTAACAAAAAATTAATATATAAATATTCAATTTTTTTCCTTATCTTTTTGTGTGGCAGAAAAAGATTGAGTTAAATATTTACATTCATAAATATTTCTAAAAAGGATGTTAATTTTGTACAATAATAATTGTAGGAACTACAAGACAAAGGCTCAATTTAAACATGATGTCATTTTTTTGGCTTCAGCCAATAAATGTGAAACACCGAAAATGCCCTCGTCCTCCTTTGTATTTTTGCATAGATGTGAAGGACATGAATTTTCTGCTCTCTTACGCCCCCGGACAGCAGCCCGTGTGATGTATCTCTGCAACACCCCAATCGAGCAGTCACTGTCGTGATGGGCAACCGTTGATGGACGATAATGCCCTTTTTTACTGTTCACAAGGACTTTTGGGGAATGGATTTACAATTTATATTCACCAAAAATTTATGAATTATTTTTTAAATATTAACATCTTAAATTAATTTTTTATAAATTTATAGATAATTTATAATTTTTTATATATCGATCTCTAAGTTTTTCTTTAAAACAATGGCTAGATCGTTGTACATTTTAAGATGTCCATTGTTTCTACAAAAAAACTTTAGAGTGCCTAGTGTTTTTTTAAAAAAAATTTAAAGATAAATTAATATTAAAAACGTGATTAGAGTTTTATCTATTATTGTGCGTGGGCATCACGCACATGCCGTATTAACAAAAAAATAATAAAATTAATCGCTAACTAATAGAAGTGATTTTTTATTTCTCTGAAAAATAATTTAAGAAGAAAATTGTCCCATTTATCAGTACAAAATACTCAGCATTCTTCGAAAAAAAATAACTCAAGGGTAAAAATACACTTTAACCTTAAAAATTATCTTCTTATGTCTTTATCTAACTTGAAATGATATCTTTATCTCACTCACACCTTCTTCTTTTGTTAACCAATATGTGATTTATCAGGCTCTTGAATAATTCTTCACAAGCACAAAGCATGTACAATTTCTTTTCTTACAATTACAAGTATTGGGACATTAACTCAAACTCATTAATCCAACGTGTGTGTGCGTGTATTCAAGCAATGTCTGTACTTTCCTAAGTATATATCAACGTAAAGATTCGACCACCTAAATTCTAAATTTCAGTCCTTAATCCACCCAATATACTTGATTACTCCAATCCAATTTTCTTCTATGCATTTTAAAAACACATTGTGAACATTAATATACAAATTATATCATCAAGTTTCTTACTCTAAATTTGCTCAACATTTCCTAAACATTTATATAAATTTACTATGCTTCCCAAACCTGTCTTTATCAAAAATCCATTCAAACTAAACTAAAATTCTTCCTCTCCCTTTGCCGACTACATATATAAAATGGAACAGGAGCACCTGCCAAAAAAAACTCTTGTCTTGCCAATCTTAGTTTTCACTAAAATCCTACTCCTCTCCTACTACGTACAACCGCTAAACAAAGCGGAAGAACTATATTTTTATCCATTCACTCTAAAGGACACGCACATGGCAAGAGTAGAGAAGGAGAAAAAAGATTTTGACCTACGTACAACACTACATCATATCACCAAGGACGTGAACGAATAAGATAGAATAGGAAGACCTACCAAGAAGAAGATTCTAGTGATCCAAACAAAGCAGAGGGAGACGAAGAATCGGGCGACGCGAACAGAGGAGGAGGAAGAAAAAAATCCAGCACACCCTATGAAGACTTGCAGCGGCGACAGACTGAACTCTTCCACACACATGCGCCAGCAAGGGACTGAAAGACAGAGGAGGAGGGGGAAGAAGTTTCTCGAAGTGCTGTGTGTGTGTGTGTGGTGTGAGCGGGAAAATGGAAAGGAACGCGGAAAATCTGATGGTGTTTTATTTTTATTTTTAAAAGAGTGATATTATGGTAATTTTACTAGATTAAAACAAAATAAAGTGTGTCCCCAACCACACAATCACCTTTACTTAAAGGCAAGCTCGAGGGAAATTCCCGATGGGCCATTAATACACCTTGATTCATTTACTCAAAAATATATTAAAAAAATACAACCAAAATATACTATTCTTAATTTAAATATTATTTTAAATTTTCAGGGTTATTACAAAGTGGCGATATATTTAGTGAGTGTGCATAAATAATAAAACATAATATAATCAATCCTTGTCCTTAAAACAAAAGTACACATCTCTCTCTCATGTGGGTGTTTTTATATCGATATTGTTAACTTAATATTTTAGAGGATTTTAATTTTATCAATTAGTGGTCCCTTTTGGTTTACATATCAAAATCTCCCATCTTGTCGGCGTCTCGTGTTCATTGTGACGTGTTATCAAACCGGTCCCCAAAATGAAGGTTTTGTATACCCTTAATTACAGCCAAACATAATTTGAATTTGCAAATATAAAATATCAAATTTATTAAATCAATGACAAGCCTTCATTGAATATTTTCAAATACAAATATTTACACTAAAATTGTGTGTACACTATGCACAAAAGAGCCAATTTGCGAGTGCTGCAGACAACTAAAACAATCTTAGCCATTCGTTCTTCGATAGAATAGATCTGAAGCATCTGTTTCCCTTCAATCTAAACCGTTTGTTGCTAAACATCTAGGCCAAATCTCTCTCATGAAAGTAAAACTAGTGAAAAATACCAAAATTTTTATTGATTATTATTCCTCAAGACGAAAACAAGAACCCCAGGATGTTCATGAAATTATCTTTATTGTCCAACTAGTACGTGGTCCGGGATGTGAAAAAAAATTAAAAAATAATTTTAATAAATAATAATTAATAAAATGAAAATCTAAAATGTTATTAAGTGAAAATAAATTTTTTTCACTTATGTTTAAAATAACGCTTTATATATATATATATAACACGAATATATTACTATTGTTGTGTGTTCTTTATTGTTACTTACTCTTACTATTTGTTTTTAGTATAGCCCACATATTTGCGTGTGTGTGTGAGGTAACTCTTAATATTTAAAGATAATATAAATCAATTAAAACTTATTAATAAAATAAATAATTTTCATAGGAGAGAGGGTTCTAACTTCGATTGGTATGTGTTTGGAATGAAATGTGCCATCACATGTTCCAATGAAATAGCTTACAACTAAAAAAAAATGTGGGCAAATCCTAAACTTTGATGGGAAAAAAAAAAAGAATCTCAAAGTTGAATTCCAAATTCCTAGAAACAAAGAAATATTAGTAGAAACACAAAAAAAACATGGAAACATAGAAACAAATTGTCAATCCACTATGTTATGTCCCACATCATAGGAATTTGGAGAGAATCATAGCTATATAAGTGAGTTGCACGTCCCACTAAACTATCTTTTTGAAAAGAGAGTAATGACTTTATAACAAAGTGATATCAGAGCTTGACTCAAGTTTGTCCAATCAATAGGCCTTTTCATTGGCTATCTATGACATGGGCGTCAAAGATTAACCGAGGAAGCTATTACATCTCACATTAAAGAAACTTGAGGAGAGTCCTAGTTATATAAGCGGGTGTACTACACATCCCATTGAGCTAGTTTTTTTGGAAATAGAGTAATGACCCTATGACAACTAGCTCCATTTGAATTGTCTTCTTACATTGGTGGAAATATCGATAGTAGCAGTTGCATACTCATTTTCCTTAGTTGGGATGTGACATTCATGCTTGTCACTTGATAATAAGCTAGAAGCTAGCTGGAAGAATTTGCACCTTTAGATTCAATCAACGCCTAGGTACTACACATTTTAAAGCAGAGGAGAAATCTAACTTGAAGAAAAGAAGAGGACACCATGAAGCAAGATAATATCATTAGTGCAATTATGGAATTTAAGGGGCACCATGTCCTAGAAATCTAACTTGAAAAAATCTAGTACCTGATATAAAATATTATGTTTTTATTTTTTTAAAAAAATTAAAATCACTTTTCTACATCGGGTCCCTTAGACCCGATGTAAAAAATTGACCAGGTCCGCGGTACCC